CCCCCCCCCCCCCCCGGCGTGAGCATGCAGCACCTGAGATAAGCAAGCAAGCAAGCATCTTCATCAAGGGTGAGGTTTCCCGCTGAAGGCTGTTGGGGACGATGGGGGGGGGGGCAGTTCCCTGCTCTGAGCAGCCCACCTCCAGTTGGCCCCGGAAGCCCAGCACTGCTCTCCCCGGAGGGCTTCCCCCATCCGTGGTGCCGACTCATCGCGGCCGGTCTTCTGCTGCGTGCGCCGCAAGCTCCTCCCCAAGTGGACGGGCGCGGTGGATGCTGGGCCCTGCCTGGCCCCCCTCCGAGTCCCTTGGCCGTTCAGCCCAGCAAAGGGTCATCCGTGCAGCACTTGCTGGGCCCGGAGGCCGCTGGGCCTGGCGTGATCCCTTCCCTGCCCGGGTCCTCCTGCCGTGAAGCCTTCTCTGGCGGAGACCGGAACGGATTCCTGCACACCCGTCAGCGGAGGGCACGGCTCTGCTCGTCTGTGCGTTAAAGGGCAGGAAGAATAGGGGGGGTCGACACAGAGAGCCCTCCCTTCTCGCCCCTGTGGCTTTTTAATCCTGTGACTGGTGAGGGGCCTGCCTCTTGATTTTTAGGGTGATTGTCGTTGGCAGGCCCAAGAGGGGAGCTGGCTGTGCCTGCGGAAGTGGGCTCTAGAACGCCCCCCCCCTTATGTGTGTGTGTGTCTCTCTCTCCCCCCTCCCCCCTCTTCCATCCTGTGTGACTGCAGAGTGGGGGTGCCTTTGAGCTTTCCGGGAGTACCCGCGTGCTGCTGGACGAGAGCAGGGCTGCGTGTACATACCCGGTTGTGTATATCTATATATAAATGTCTGTGGACACAAAGAATTGCAATAGCTTTTGATGGGGAATCTGGATACTTTTGTACTGCACCCCCCCCCCTCCACCTCGGTGGTGCCAACCTCTTGTGCAATAAACAATCCACAGCTGCTTGTGGGCTTCGTGTCTCCCTCCGTCTCTGGGAGGGGGCAGGGTCTTCCCGGGTGGGGCCTCTCGAGAGCGCTGTGGCTTGGCACGACCCCCTGCCTGCCTGCCTGCCTACCCCCCCCACCTGCCCTTGGCACGTGGGCCCAGACCTCCAGCCACACGTCGCCCAGGAGCAAGCCCGGATGGACCCTGGAGGCAAGCCCGGGCCAGGGGGTCTGTACAGAGCTCGGGGAGGGGGAGCATTTCCCAGCTTGGAGCCCAGCCTGTGCCTTCGCCCCACTCACCTGACTGCCGCGGGTGGGAGGATGCAGCCAAGCCACAAAAGACGTGAACTCGGCATACAGGCTTTTTCTGCCTGGGGGGTGTATGC